GAAACGTGCTACGAGCACAAGTAGCGGGGTAGCCCTGTTAGTTATCGCAAGCAAGTGGTCCTTACTTTGTGGTTGTGTGTTGGGCTATGATAGACGAGTTGTATCATAGCTCATGATTGGCTAACGACCATTGGGTGGATGCCTAAGCAAGATGGTAGAGACACCAACTAGAGATAATGCATAAGCTTGGAGTAGAGACATCGAAAAAGTGTGATGCGTAAAGTTGGCGTAGAGACACCAGACGTAGAGGTGGATGTGTAAGCAAGTTTCTAATAACGCTAGTAAAGCTTAGTCCCTTATCATTCGTTGATTGGGTGTCATTAGGAAACATTAATTGCTTGCTTGTTTTAGTCTCAGTCTAGGCGTTCATAGATATAGTCATGTCAAGTGTTTATGAATTCTTCCTAGAAAGATGATGAAGTTTGACACAATTCTCTTCTCAGACGCATCACTGCACAATAAACAATTTTCCATGTTTGGAAACAGAGGAACAACGTTTTACACAATTCAGACTCAATTCCATCACACACAATCTTCACAGCCATCTGATCCCGTAACATCATCATCGCAAGGAGAAAAAGGCGACGTTTTGGAAACTTATTGTCCCTTTGGCTCAATTGGTAGCTTTCACATTCACGTTTGTGTATTTTCTCAAGACAGATATGCTTCCTTGTTTTTTATTTATTTTTTTCCAAGGAAACAGAGTAGTAGGTTGTCATATTTTCTAGAGAAATTTCAAAAAATGTCACGTTCCAAATGCCACTTTACAAAAATGCCACACTTTTGAAATTTTTACAAAAATTCCATTTTTTCAAAATTATTTTTTCATTATATAATTTATGTTTGGGTTAACTATGTTATATTAGGGTTTAGTTTTGAGTGTTTAMGGYGTTTTAYGTGTCAAAARATTTTRTAGAGTTTAGAATTTTAAGATATAGGCTTTATAAATCTATAATTAGTGYCATTTTTGTAAATAGACACCCCTAAGTGGCATTATTGCAAATGTGCACACAAAAATGGCATTTTTGTAATTGCCCCTATTTTCTAATACGTTCTTTTCATTTATAATAAAACTATAATAGGATCCGCGTTAATACGCGGCTG